CGGGGTATGGCGGCGGGCTGAGAAGAAGAAGAGAGGGGGAGGAGGAGGAGGAGAGAAGAAGAAGAAGAAGAAGAAGAATGAGCGGAGGAGGAGGAGGAGGGAAGAAGAAGAAGAAGAAGAACAGACCGACACTCCACGTCGACGGGCGGCAAAGGTTGTTGGCAGGCAGGAGCACCGCGATGGAGGACGCTGGCGATGGGCGACGGGCGACGACGGGCAACTAAAGCTCCTAGGCACGACGACGAGGGGCGGCTACTTCGACGACGAACGCAGCGGGCTACAGTAGGTGCTGACGCCCGTTTGGACAGCGAACGCAGGTCGCCCCAACCAGTGGCTTGTTCAAACGGGGCCTCCATTTTCCCTCCGAAAACGAACGGCCCTCTGGGCCGTTGATCATGGATGACCGACGGCCAGAGGGTCGTCCCAAATTGAAAAAAAAAACAGGCCTCAGGGGCCCGACGTGCCGTTTTCTGGCCGTGGTCGGACCCGGTAAGCCTTGGGGAGGCGAAATCTCCCCGAATCTCCCCGAATCGGGGTTGGGAACCCCCCGCCAACAAGGTGTGCTGGGGGGGCCCGGCCCCCAACCGGGCCGCCCGCCCGGCCAGGCCGCTTGGAACCTACCCCAGGCAGGCGCCACTCGGCCCGGCGGCCCGGATCCGTACGCAGAAGATTATATCTTTCGAATAGGGCGAATAGCTGTAATGTGGGCCATCTAGATGATGAAGTGCACTTATGAATGGTAAGGGGCCAGACTAGGCGACCATCTCGCATGGTTCGGAGAGCACTTCTAGTCTGGCCCCTTACCGTTCATAAGTACACGTCATCATCTAGATGGCCCACATTACAGCTCTTCGCCCTATACGGAAAATATTATCTATAAATTCTTCCTGATTTTCCATTGATTCTAGCTTGGGGATCCATGTCTCTTGGAGGATAACTTTCCACCTCCATAGCCATGGAACATGTGGGACTATATTAAACAACAAATCGAAAGGAAAAAGTTCAATTTCTATCCAACAAATCAGAAATCCAATCACATTTTCAAAAATTCAGTCGCAACTGGCTGGGCGGAAACCAGGGAGGGCGATTGGGAAAACTCATATGGAATGGGGCAATGGATGATGATGATGATGAGATTAAAAGGGATTATAAATTGGAATTCAGCGACTGGACTACTATTGAGGCTTCAGTCCCTATGCCCCCTCTATCGCATCAACTCTTGTTCCTAGCTCATGGTATGGCGCTGACCCGATTTCCAGCAGGTGAAGCTCCCCACCAATAGATGGAGCAATTTTGCACCCCCCTCCAAAAAAGTGCAACCTGATCAATGCAACCAGACAGCATAAGAGTACAACCTGCTCAATGCAACCAGCTAGTGAAGCGCTACCAACCTTCCCTAAAGTCGTGGCATAACCCGAAAACACACATGTGCTGCGAGCATCTACATGGTCGCTTCTCGTCCTTTATAGCAGCCCGTCCACCAATCCTTGCCTCACTCCCTCTCCCCCTCTCATGGAGTTTGCACGTGTTGCTTTGTTGGCGTAAGTTATGTATGTGGTTGTTTGTGTGAGTATGCGAAGTTCAGGGCACGTGGGCGACTGGTCTAGTGCCCTAGGACACTAGTCCGTCCGGCCCTTCCTCATGGAGGGATAGGGTAGGGACACACACACGTGGGTGAATGGTCTAGTGCCCTCGGACACTAGTCCATCCGGTAGGGACACACACACGTGGGTGAATGGTCTAGTGCCCTCGGACACTAGTCCATCCGGCCCTTCCTCATGGAGGGATAGGGTAAGGACACACACACACAACCACACAAAAAAATACTTTTACTTGTCCAATTCCGCACCCTTCAGTAGTGCCAAACAGTCGGTGGTTCCTCGTTTGGAGTGCCTACTGCCCTCTTAGGGGGGGCGGTCAGTTCGGGAGGTTTGTATCCTGCGGGTGATGTCGGATACTTGTCGGAGTGACTCCCTGACTCAATGGGTGGTAGGAACGAACAGTCTGCCGTGTTCAATTGTGATGTGCGTAGGTGATGTGCCGTTTGGCTCCGTGTTGGATGTGTGGACGATCTTGTCTGCGCTTTGCTCCGCTCCCTGGCCGCTCATCTGCTGGTCGTGCCTTTCATGTTTTTTTTTGCTTGCTTGCTTCGGTTGCCTTGTCGGTGTTGCCTTGTGCTCCACCGCATGGTTGGCGTGCTGCTGGACCGCTAGCCTTGCCATTCCCTGTTGTGTGATTGCCCTGTTGGTGTTCCCTCGTGCTTCTCTCTCTCTCTCTCTCTCTCTCTCATGTGCGCGGGTGGTGACATTTTTAACATATCTGTCCGCCACAGTGTATCTTTTATGTTCTTGCGGAAGATTCCGTCTCATTTTGCACATTGGCAGGCAGCTCGGTTGATTCACACATGAAACTGTTGAATTCCAGACGCGAGTTCAAATCCAGCGGCAGCCACACTAAAATAGTTCTGATTTACAAAGGATCCGACGGTGTGCTGATGCCTTGGCCGATGCCCCCCCCCAATGTTGCGTGTCCCGCATGTCCTAAAACAAACACTGCGTCGTTGCTGTTCTAAAACAAATACCCTAAACGTCACCCGGGCCAGATAATGGCCGTGCCTGGGGTGGGCCTGGCACGAAGAGGATACGAGAGGGGGAGGAGGATGTCGCACAAGGAGGAGGAGGTCGCATGGGGGGGAAGGAGGAGGGGTCGCACGAGGGGTAGGAGGAGCACGGGAGATGGGTAGGAGGTGGTCGCACGGAGGTCGCGCAAGGGGGAGCAGGAGGTCGGAAAACAATGCGCAAAGGAGAAGTGTAGATCATGCAAGGACGAGCAGGGGGTCGCATGGAGGTTGTGGAGGTCGGAGAGAGGGAGCAGGTCATGCGAGCGGGACGAGGAGGTCAGAAGAGGACGTGTGAGGGGGAGGAGGTCGTGCAAGGAGGCCAGAAGAGAGGCGGGAGAAGGTCGTGCAAGAGGGAAGAGGAGGTCCACAGACGATGTGCAAGGGGGTAGTGCAGGTCGCGTGAGGAGGAGGAGCTCATGGGAGGGGCAGGAGCAGGTTGCACAATGGGGAGGAGAGGTTTGTGCGGGGAGGGGAGGGGAGGGGGCCGCGAAGGAGGACGACGAGGTCGAACAAATGGGAGGAGGTGTGCGAAGGGGAGAGGACTACCTTTTTTTGGGAGGGGTGTAGAGAATCCACCTTTCTTTTGGGGTGGGGGAGAATTCGCCAAATACCCCCATAAGTTGAGATAAATGTCAAAATAGCTGGGCACAGTGGAATGGCCTTTTGGGCTGGCATCTTTGTGTTATGCCCCTGTCTGGCGGGTGTGCAAATTTGCAATCTCAGCCTCTCTGTTTGCGCCTTGGCCTTCCGCAATTGCACTACAGGGGCATTTTGCAAAGTTGGATGGTGTCCAGTAGGGGTACATTGCAAAGATGGAGTCAATTCGGGCGAAGATGGTAGAGCAAGTGCAAGCACACACATGTCCACACAAGAGTCCACCCATTTCATTCAATTTGCGACACCGCCTCGTTAAAAAGGCACAGCGGGCTATTAAAAAATATATGCGACCGTCTGCATCCAGGACTGTCCACAAAAACAAAAAAGAATAAAAAATATGGCAGTCAATCTTTCCACATTTTAGCAGGAGATTCGTTCTCCTCATTTTGCACATTTGGTGAGTAGATGAGCAAGGGCTGCAAGGCGCTTAAGAGTGTTACACAAGGGGGCCACTACCTAACCTCAGGCTCAGACCAACAAGAAGACCTTTTCCTTCCTAATGTCACAGTCCGCGGTTAGAGACTCTCTATCACTGCTGTTGTGGTCATCAGTAAATAATAAATATGCATACAAAGGAGAGAACACATTCAACACAGTGATTCCATTTCATTTCATGTCTTTCCCTTCATTCCGAATTGAGAATGCAATAAGCCAGTTCAATATTCTGCAGGCACATATACCAGCCCAGAATGATCACTGAGTCTGAGCATCTCTCTCTCTCTCTCTCTCACACACACACACACACCACACACACACATGCACGCATCTTTCTCTCCCTCTCTCACACACATGCTACACTTCTCTCACACATCCACACCTCTCTCACGCACAGACTCTCTCTCACCTCTCTCTTGCAAACATTTTCTCTCTCACACACACGATCACACCTGTCTGAAAGATCTCGCTCTCTCACACATGCACACTTCTCTCTCACATACATAGAAGCACCTCTCTCTCTCTCTCTCACACACACACACACACACACACACACACACACACACACACAACCATCCAATTAATGTGATCACCAAATGTGCCAGCAAGTGTGAGAGTGCATGTCGATTCCAATTTACTCTCCTCCCTTCAAACTGGATTCAGACAATTGTTTTTTTGTTTGTTTGTCGAGTTTGCGCACATACGTGCCCTCGAGTAAAGCTCAATCCTATCATGCTAACTGCTTCCGGAAGCAGGTTTCAATTTATCCCTTCTTACTTTCCCACCCTATCTAAAACCCCTGCGTCTCAACTTAAAAAATTGCCTGTTGGTCTCTCCCTCAATGTCAAAATCAATTCAACGAGTCCCGCCTCGTCTGGCCTACCCTGTACTGATCTGCCCATGTGCCAAGGACCATTAAGCATGTAGGTTATGGGCCAAATAGCAACAGACCCAACGGATGATGCAAACAATTGAGCATGCCAACAATGGGTTAACTATGGGTGAGTTACGGCTGAGTTACTATGGGTGAGTTATCATGGGTGGGTTATGAGTGATTCTGGGTCGTTGACATGCAAAGAATGACAGGTTGTGGGGGGGCTACAGGAAGACAGGAACGGACAATGGCTTCCGCAAAAAATGAAGATAGATAGATAGATAGATAAATAGATAGATAGATAGATAGATAGATACACACACACACACACACACACACAGAGAGAGAGAGAGAGAGAGAGAGAGAGAGAGAGAGAGAGAGAGAGAGAGAGAGAGAGAGAGAGACGGCACCATTCTGTTAGGAGAACTTTTATCTTTTTTTTTTTTGGGGGGGGAAGCACAACTATCTCAAGTTCATGTTTTGTATCAACTCAACAACATCGTATCTGCACCACATCCATGGATCAGTCTCATCAGCATGAGCGTCCCATCATATGGCGTTTCGCCTTTCATTTTGTCGGATTTGTCCTAAACCATTTGACTTATATAGACGGAAGAAACAGGACACAAAGCTGCATGGTACTGTTCCCTGGGAAATGGGTGCGCACCTTCCCTGCCCATTCGTTCCCTCCCCAACCCACAACTACCCCCCGACTGAGCTGCCTGATTGCCGCACAGCAGAGTGCTACTCCCAGGGCCGTGGCGGTTGACCAGCTGCCCTGTCCATCCCTCGCTTTCCCCCCACCTTAAACTGCCGGCCGACCGAGCTGCCTGTTTGCCCCGCTCCATGGCCCTCAAGATACTCTTCCAAAGTTTCCTTAAAGAGAACAGAAGACACATGCAGATGCCTTACCCCATACGCACCGTCCTAGGCCTTCCCTGCATGCATTTGGACTCGAACGGGGACCACATTCATGGCTGGAAATAGCTTACTATTTGCAGCGCTGTCGGCTAACCTACCGTCTCACAACTCAAGAATACCCTGATTGAGAAGCATCCGCGGAATCTCCCTCACACAATTCGTGTGTGCACTCAACCGTGTTGGACGGAACGAGAGAGGAAAAAATTCTGCTCGCAAAACGACAAGCTGCATGGACAGCTGCATTCGATGCTTGCACCCCTCTCGACAAACTCTGCACGGCAGCATGGTTCCCCTGTGCCATGCTCACAGAATCACGGAGAAAAAAATTTCTGCTCGCAAGACGACAAGCTGCATAGACAGCTGCATTCGACGCTTGCACCCCTTCTCGACAAACTCTGCGCGGCGGCATAGTCCCCATGTGCCATGCTCACGGAATCGCGGAGAAAAAACTTTCTGCTCGCAAGACGTGACAAGTTGCATAGACAGCTGCATTTGATGCTTGCACCCCTCTCGACAAACTCTGCACGGCAGCGTAGTCCCCATGTGCCATGCTCACGGAATCACGGAGAAAAAAATTTCTGCTCGCAAGACAAAGCTGCTTCCTCCGAGGCACCGCCGTTTGCCTGTCACTCACAAGACGAAAGGATGCACAGATTTGCTGACCGGTCTCTGATTGTTTGCATAATAACAGCTCGTCTCTGTCGCATGTGCGAAGGCAGGTGGTTTTGTGCGAGATGACGATACTTCACATCCACATATCTCTGACTTCGCATTCATCGCTCTGCATCGACATCTTTTTTTTTTTTTTTTCACATCAATATCTTCGACGCTCTACATATAGTCCACTCTTAGCCACTGCTCTCTGCTGCCTTTGAAGGAGCAGGTCTTGTATGACTGAGGCCAGACTTCACGTCGACATATCTTCATCGCGCTGCGGTGAAGAGTGCATTGGCCAATTCGGAGGTAGCATCTTCATCACGCTGCGGTGAAGCGTTGACATATCTTCATCGCGATGTGGTGAAGCGTGGATTGGCCGTCGTAACCCTCACCGAAGTCGGGGATTCCCGCTTAAGATGCCGGACAAGGGTTATCTTTACACACACAGCTGGTGTCTCACTGCGCTCACTGTCCTCGTCCCGACGGCAGATCTGTGCTTTTTTTTTTTTTTTTCCCCTTTTGGGTAGCACATCTGTTATCTCTTGGCTGAAGCTCAGAAGTTGCTCTCCGTAGCACAGAAAATAGCTCTCACGGTCCTCGAAGTGTTTGTCCTCATGCATCTGCCGAAACATGGAAGGCTACATTTTGAAAAGCTTGAGCATTCTTCGACATGCTTGAAGTAGCAAATAATGTCCTCCTCATAGAACGACTGGCGCCTAAGGCCAACGTCTCTCTTCCGCCCGGGAACTCGCATAACTGCTTTGTGCCCAGTGATACTCCGTCGTTGTGCATGGGCAATGAATGATGAGCTTTGCCCGTGCCTCTCCTGAGGAGGAGACCAAGTAGCAATGCACTCGTATTCGTCTGATAGAGCGACCGGCGCCCTCGGTTCGGTCTACTTCTCTCATCAGCATGGGACTACATAACAGCTTTTTGCACAGCGGTACTCCGTCTTTGCGCGTGGACAGTGATGCCTCTCCTGAGGAGGAGACCAAGTAGCAATGTACTCGTACTCGTCTGATAGAACGACCGGCGCCTTCCGTTCAGTCTACTTCTCTCTTCAGCCCGGGGACTAAATAACCGCTTTTTGCACAGCGGAATTCCGTCTTCGCGCGTGGACGGTGACGAGGTTTTTGCCCACGCCTCTCCTGAGGAGGAGACCACCAGTCATCTGTTTACCCATGCCTGCCCCCTGAAAGCTGAAATCCATTTCAAATGACCAATACCTTTGAAGCTGCAGAACTGTTATCTTCTATCGGAAGACGTCGCCGTCGCACAGGAAGACTGGAAGCTGGCTCCTTGCCGCAATCAATCGCCTCAGAACAAAAAAAAAAAAAAAAAAAAGTTGAGCACACTGAAAGTTACTGGGCAGTTGGAAGAAAAACTATCCATCCCATCGATTGCGCAGTAGCGTTATATGAACTTTTATCCCTTTGCAAAACTGACACATGACCTCAGGAAATAGCCCAGCCTGTGATATTGCTTACATCTTCATGTAATGCAGTAAAGCAGCAGTATACCATGAAAGTCTTCCGTCGATGCCGAATGCGTTCTCTCTGCCGGCATTGAATTGGTTCTGCAGACACAGAACCGACGATTATGCTCCGAATCTCTGTTCGTGCGTGTGTGCACTGGTATGGCGCATGCCTGTGTACCCATGTTGGTGTGTGTGCGTGCGCACGCGCGAGCAAGAAAAAAGAGAGAGAGAGAGAGAGAGAGAGAGAGAGAGAGAGAGAGAGAGAG